GAATTGAAAGCACAGTTTGCAAATAAGCCATGTCTTTGTATATAAATTACTTTTGATAAATTAAATGCTTTAGAAGAAATCAATCCGATTAAAACACAGATCCTATTTGGTTTCGTTTTTTATAGTTCAAAATTTCATTTTACTTGTCTTTACTACACTAGGATCTGGAAGAGTTGTTATATTACCGCCGTTTTGGTTGAAGTGAGGGATTAGCCAATGAAACAGTCTGTTACCGTGACTTTGGCGTACCATGTACGGAAATGTGGGTAAACCACTAGAAACTTCAACGCTGATTGATTAATCAATGTCTGACGTCACAGGGTCAAATGTCGTTTGCACAACCCTGGACATGACCTTCCTGTACAACTTGTCAGATCTTTATGTAGTCGAGGCCATCGAAAGTATAAAAAAACGAAACGAAATATAGATCTGTATTTTAATCAGATTAAGAAGACATATTATTGTCTATGTCCACCCCATCAGCTTTTAGTCCTTTAAGTAAATAACCGTCTGAAATAGACACTAATCTTGACACGGATAGAAAGATGAATAGTGCCTGTCAGTTCAACTCTACTTCATTCTCTCCTTCTTGTTAATATTATCATATTACTAGAGAGAGAGAGAGAGAAATGGGGTTTAACGTCCACTCGACGCAAACTAGGTCATTTCGGGACTAACATATGGTTTAATTTTATTTCAATAATTCACTTGCACATAGGGGTCTTCAGCAGTGGGAGGAAACCGGAAGACCCGGAGAAAACCCACGAGGTTGGACAGGCGACCCTACTCCTTGTCACGTACAACCGGGGATTCGAAACCACACCAGTCGACTCAATGACAGACATTATGATACAGCGTGCGCACGCTAACCATTCAGCGATCCAACCCCCATCATATTACTATACATTACTCAAACATATCTTAGCATTAAAATAAAACATAATTACCACGGGTACCATGCATTGTTCAAACATATCAAAACATTAAAAATAGTCAATATACCCTGCTTAAATATGTCTTAGAATTAATAATAAGTGCAGAGCAGTATTCGAACATATCTAAGCGTTAAAATAAGTACTGCACAGTATTCAAACATATTTTTGCATTAATAATAAGTGCTGAGCAGTATTAAACATATTTAAGCATTAATAATAAGTGCTGAGCAGTATTCAAACATATCTAATCGAACATATCTTAGCATTAAAATAAGTACTGCACAGTATTCAAGCATATTTTTGCATTAATAATAAGTACTACACAGTATTCAAACATATCTAAGCATTAAATAAGTACTGCACAGTATTCAAACATATCTAAGCACAGTACTGCACAGTATTCAAACATTTTTTTGCATTAATAATAAGTGCTGAACACTATTCAAACATATTTTTGAATTAATAATAAGTGCTGAGCAGTATTCAACAATATCTAAGCATTAATAATAAGTACTCCACAGTATTCAAACATATTTTTGCATAAATAATAAGTACTGCACAGTATTCAAACATATCTAAGCATTAATAATAAGTGCTGAGCAGTATTCTAAGCATTAAAATAAGTACTGCACAGTATTCAAACATATCTAAGCATTAATAATAAAAGCTGAGCACTGTCCAAACATATCTAAGCATTAATAATAAAAGGATGGGGAAATTCATTTGTTATTCTTTTATTTTTGTTTATTTTACTAAGAAGAAGTAACATATACAACTCAAGAATTATCTACAAATTACAAAACATGATGGTGTGATCTATGCACTTACTTCCCGTTAGCATTTAATTAACTAAAATTACAATCAACTTTATTAAATACAATATCAGTATGGTTTTCTTGAAAGATTTGATATGTCACTAAAAAATAAAGCTTCACAGAAAATAAGATAAATAGACTTAGTTAGAATGAATGCTATGAATGGTGTGATTGCTAGGTTTCACTTGTTATTACCAGTCACAAAATGCATTTATCAAGCTCTAAAAAGTTGACTAGTGTATTCAAGGAAACAGATGCATCACATAAATCCATGACAATTCACACACACTATCACAAAAAGAACACCTTTTATAGCTAGCTTCTATTTTTCTCACCTCAACTTGACTCAAGGTGTATTTTTTTTTTCTTTACAACAAACAAATATATCATTGGAATAAAAATCATCTCATGTTAAACAGTGAAAACATTTAAAGATACATTATGTAAGATTTAGATAAAGAGCTGACAGTTCTTGCTATAATAGCTCAAAAATAGATAATGAACAATGAATATATTGAAATTTTCATTCAAATTACTTTATTCTGTGCAAAAGTATTAATGTTTAAGTTTTGACAAGAACAGCATAGTCTCGATTGTCCTTGTTACAATAATAAACAAAGTCTTGATTTTCCATTTTTTTCGTTAACTGATTAAATGGTGTGGGTGGTCTAATTCAGTTAATATCCAAGCCATCTATAGAGTTGATTATGGGCTTAACATGTGAATAAATGTCTAACTAAATAATAATTTAAATAACATTTAAAGCGTGAAAAAAGACCTGTAATAGGAGGATTTAACTCTTACCTAATGTATATTTAATTAAATCCTGGAGATCTAAATATAACCAACATGTATTTCAGTGATTCTCAACCAGTGTGCCGTGGCACACAGGTGTGCCGCAAGATCTTCCTAAGTGGGCCGCGAACTTTTGAACAGCACACTATGAAAATTTCTTAGTTATTTGACTGATGAAATTCGAAACACTGCAATAAAATAAGTTTATAGCTGTGTTTTTCTTTATTTAGTTTGAGTCATTCTATGTGTCTATGACTAGTCTGTGTCTACGGTTGTATGCCATCTATGACTTGCCATGCTTTATTTTCCAATATTTTTCATATATATTTAGCCAGGTGTGCCGCTATTTTTTCATGTGTTTCAAGGTGTGCTGTTGGCAAAAAAAGGTTGAGAACCACTGATGTATTTGATTACCAAAGATCGTCCCTTACATAATGCATCTTTAATTAAATCCTTGAGATCCGAATATAACCAACACGTATTTGATTACCAAATATCATCCCTTGCTTCTAACACAAAAATAAAACGGGTGTTGAATAATCAGAGCAGCACCAGCCTTAGAATATTCTGGACTCTTTGCAGAGTATACAATAGTTTGTCTGCGATATCACTTCGGTGGAAGTGGACATTAAATAAAGCTATTTCACACATATACAATAGCCATTCCCCCTCCCCCAACAAGTCAAATTTCTTTTCAATCTAACTCACTTTTTTTTTTTAGTAGATTGTTAACAAGTACAATAAGTTATTAAAATATAAAAAAAACAAAAAAACACCATTAACACGGGGCAATAAGTAATCACATGACGTAAGTACAACAAGCAGAATTACGAATATTTGATTGAAAACATCAACATTAAAAAAAGACAAATGTGCAGTGAAACCGAAAAAAAAAAATCAGTTATGACATTGAAAGTAAATTTTCCAGCCCACCAGCCCCCAAAGAAAAAAAACGGGGTTTAATGTTCTACTGTACCCGCGCGGAGGAACGTGTTCTGCTCTACCCCTACAGAAAGTAATTAAACATACATTACGTAAGAGCTAAATCTGCCTATTACAGGTTTTTATTTTGGCTTCAAATGTTATATAAATTACCATTTAGAGAGAGAGAGAGAGAAATGGGGTTTAACGTCCACTCGACACAAACTAGGTCATTTCGGGACTAACATATGGTTTAATTTTATTTCAATAATTCGCTTGCGCGTAGGGTTCTTTAGCAGTGGGAGGAAACCGGAGGACCCGTAGAAAACCCACGAGGTTGGACAGGCGACCCTACTCCTTGTCACGTACACCTGGGGATTCGAAACCACTCCAGTCGACTCAATGACAGACTTTATGATACAACGCGCTCACGCTAACCATTCAGCCACCCAACCCCCCCATTACCATTTAGACATTTATTCAATCGAATGGTGCAGATGTAAACGGATTAAAATATCAACACCATATAATGATTTAACTTAATAATGATTCAATTTAAAAATAGAGAAGTGAGGCTGAGTCTCGATTAACAAGTAATGTTGCTACGATAATAAAAGATAGGTTGCCAGGCAACGAAACATACGCCCACAGCAGCTAAATCGTCCGGGCAGTCAACAAGAGTTGTCGCATATTTTTACTTTTTTCGGTAATGAAACATTTATAATACACTAAAATCTGATTAAGAGCAACAACTCAGTAAACCATTAGAATTTGTTTGTTTTTTATAAAGTTCTGCCCCATGCTAACGTTTTGTATACAAAACTTTTAATACTATATCATGGATTTAGCTGTTCCAAGTCATAAAAATTCATTGAAAATCAATATACTTGTTCGCCTCAAGATCTTAAACTCCGTGTATCAATCTGAAGTCAATCGGATATTAACTTTGGCCTCTAGAGCGTCCACAAGATTTTTCAAAGTGATCAAGGGCCATAACTTTGGCAGTAATTATCGGAAATCGCTGAAAATCAATAGGCTTCTTCGTCTCATGGCCTTAAACACTGTATATAAATTTAAAGTCAATCGGATATTAACTTTGGCCTCTAGAGCGTCCACAAGATTTTTCAAAGTGATCAAGGGCCATAACTTTGGCAGTAATTATCGGAAATCGCTGAAAATCAATAGGCTTCTTCGTCTCATGGCCTTAAACACTGTATATAAATTTAAAGTCAATCGGATATTAACTTTAGCCTCTAGAGCGTCCACAAGCAATTGTGGACGACGGACGGACGGGGGCGACGACAATATACGACCACATTTCAATGTGGGCGTATAAAAATCAATGTCAAAACGTCAAACAGCGATAATATCGCACAAAATAAAGTAATTTAAATGAAAATTTCAATATATTAATTTTGAATTATCTATTATAGTCAGAACGGCCAGCTCTTTATCTAAATCTTACACAATGTATCTTTAACTCATCAAAAGTAATAAATATTAAAAACAAGTTGCATGATTTATTTAAGTGACATTCTAATGTGATGTTTGATATATAATATCAAATTATATAACAATTCAATTCATTTCAAAACACAACAATCAAATAACAAACAAATAAATAAATAATTTAATAAAATATAACAAAATATTTTTTCTCCCAACGACATTCATTTTCTGAAGTGGGATGATTGTGTTTTGATAAATTTAGTATAATCTTTAAAGGGCAATAAAGTAGTGGTTAAGCAAACTATTTGTAGCTATGTGTTACATCATTGTGTCCTGAATTAAACACTCTATTTCTGTGTTACAGTATACCCAGTAGGGCAATAAAGTAGTGGTGAAGCAAACTATTTGTAGCTATGTGTTACATCTTTGTGTCCTGAATTAAACACACTATTTCTGTGTTACAGTATACCTAGTAGGGCAATAAAGTAGTGGTGAAGCAAGCTATATCTTTAGCTCTAGCTATGTGTTACATCTTTGTGTCCTTGAATCAAACACACTATTACTGTGTTACAGTCTACCCAACAGGGCAATAAAGTAGTGGTTAAGCAAGCTATCTCTGTAGCTATGTGTTACATCTGTGTGTCCTTGAATTAAACACTCTATTCCTGTGTTACAGTCTTCCCAGTAGGGCAGTAGTGCTAGGTAAATTATTTGTAGATTGTAAATTATGTATGATGCAGTGTGACCTCTAATAGGAGGTAAGAACATCACAGTATGTTGTGTGCTCTTAGACCTTGGTTATGGAATGCAATCTGGTTAAAACACAGATCCTATTTCATTTCATTTTATATAGATCAAAATTTCGTTTTACTTGTGTTTACTACACTAGGATCTGGGAGAGTTGTTATATTACTGGCGTCCTGGTTGAAGTGAGGGATTAGCCAATGAAACGGTTTGTTACAGCGAGTTTTTGGCATCAGGTGCACAGAACTGTGGGTAACCCACTAGAAACATCAACACTGATTGATTAATCAAATGTCTGCTGTCATAGGGTCAAAAGCCCTTCGTACGACCTCTGATGCAACCTTCCACTACAACTGGTCAGATCTTCATGTAGTAGAGGCCATCGAAAGTATATAAAAAAAAAACGAAACGAAATATAGATCTGTAATTGAATCAGATTGTAATGGAATGAAGACGAAATTGTTGAAGATTGATATGCATATTTAAAAGGGACAAATTAATTATAAAGAGACGGATTGAATTCATGATAAAAATGAAATCTCTAATTCTAATAGTTTTACCCACCACCTATAGCATTTCAATAGGAACAACAAATAATTTACCCCTAATCTACACAAAGTCTTGTTGTGCTATTGTTTAAATGTATTTTAATTAATGAAATCATAGTGTATTGATACAAATGGGATGAAGACAGCCACTAAGCGCATCAATTGTTTGGAATACACCTCCAGAAAATATCCGACAATGTGATTCTGTGTCAGTTTTTAAATCCAAAGTGAAAACATGGTTATTTAGTCACTATCATAAACACTATAAAGTGAGAATATTTTCTAGCACCTAGAGCACTCCCTAGTGGATTGAATAGCTGCACAATACAAATATTATCATTATTATTATTATTCTATTTTCAAAATGAAAGTAAATTAACAATAACGATAGCCATACATTTTACAATATGATTTTCATATCTACTGTTTTTCACAATAAAATACAGACAAAATCGGGTTTTAATTTTGTGAATAACGGAAAATACAAGAAATAAATGAGTTTGTATTATTAAAGCTTTAAAATATATAAGTAAAAAGTTAATTCAGCCTATCTGATTAAAATACAGATCTATATTTCGTTTCGTTTTTTTATACCTTTGATGGCCTCTACTACGTGGAGATCTGACCAGTTGTAAGTGGGAAGTCGTGTCAAGGGTCATACAAGCGGCTTTTGACCTTTGACATCAGACATTTGATTAAATGATCAGCGTTGATGTTTCTACTGGAATTCGCACCGTTTCGTGCATCGCACGAGAAGATTTTGACGCAACAGACCGTTTCATTGGCTAATCCCTCACATCAACCTGAACAAAGGTTATATAACAACTCTTCCAGATCCTAGTGTTGTGAAGATAAGTAAATCAAAATTTTGAATATAAAAAAACGAAATGAAATAGGATTTGTGTTTTAATCAAATTGATAATTATGTCTGAATAGTACACTCAGCAGTTTAATTTGAAAGGTGGTTTTATTGGAGAAGAATGTCACATTAGTATATTTAAACAATATGTTAAAACACAAGGTTTATGTGGACGATTAGACTTCCCTATGTTTTATTTCAACGTTTCAATCAAATTAAATGAAATGAAATGTGGTTTAACGTTTCTACTTTTCTGCACCAACCAGGATAATGAAGAGAGGTATACCAGGGAATTCTGCCCGTACAGCAGTGTTTATGCTTACTTTTAATTGAATTCCAACTGTCAAGGGTTTATTTTTGTGCATGCACATTCCAACGACTAAATGACCTGCATGTCAACATGTACAAGGGGATCCAAACGGCCAACCTGACAAGCGGGAAACAAAATGAAATGAAATGGGGTTTAACGTCCTGCTGTTATGCTCCGAACTGGGCTAATGAAGACGGGCATACGTCAGTGTGCTACGAGGTAAATTTTGCCCGGACAGCAGCACTATGGCCTACAGTTTCGTGCACAGCACGCCAAGAACTCGCCGTAACAGACAGTTTCATTGGCTAGTCCGTCACTTCAACCAGAACGCGAGTTATATAACAACTCTTCCAGATCCCAGTGAAGTAAAGATAAGTAAAACGAAATTTTGAACTATAAAAAAAAAGAAACGAAAAAGGATCTCTGTTTTAATCAGATTGTGAATTGTAATTTTTTTAAAATTTTGTCAACATCATCATTGTTTTCGTCTACTACTTTCATCAATTTTGGAATTTGGGAATAATTTAAAGATACATTCTCACAAAATTACAAATTAGCAGCTTTAAGGATACATTCTCACAAAAGTATTTACAGGGTATCTATTTCAAATAAAAGTATGGCAAATTTGGTATATATGGAAAGCAGAGATGCCTAATCTTACTAGAAAAATACTGGATTCCCTGAAAAACACACATGGGGCAAGCACTGTGCAAAAATGTCAAGATACCACTGTCAACCCGACGGCTTATTACCTGCCAGCTTGACTTAGGGAGCAGTTACTATTTCTTGATCGAATGGTTAGGTGGTTTTGGGAACATTGAGGATTTAAACAGACTCTGCATTTGAACAGTGGAAAAAAAAGTTGGAAGATGAATTTATATGATTTTAATATGTATGGAAAATGGACAGTAAGTAACGGCAAATATATTCTGAAAATGGGCCTTCCCTCTATCAAGTTAGGCGACAAACATGATTTCTAAAAATAGATTTTTTATATCTTGGGGTATTTCCTCGCGAATACAATATTTTGAGAGGGATCTGAAGAAATTTTTTGATAGATTAATTAGTTTGAATATAGTCTACATATATCATCAAATCACCCATCCTTAATAACAAAAATGATTTTTGATTGCACGTCTGAAAAACTTAAACTGCTTTGGCTGTAATGGGTGAAGAACATTATGGTATATACATGCCAGACATATAATACCAATTGTGGTATGAATAATACCAAAGATGGTATGGATAATAGACAATGATGGTATGGATAATAGACAATGATGATATGGATAATACCAATTATGGTATGGACAATACCAATTATGGTATGGACAATACCAATTATGGTATGGGCAATACCAATTATGGTATGGGCAATACCAATTATGGTATGGACAATACCAATTATGGTATAGATAATACCAATTATGGTATGGACAATGCCATTTACGGTATGGACAATACCATTTAAGGTATGGACAAAACCATTAATTATGGTATGGATAATTCCAATTATGGTACGGACAATACCAATAACGGTATGGATAATACCAATAACGGTATGGATAATACCATTTATGGTATGGACAATACCATTTATTGTATGGACAATACAATGGTATGTATAATTGACAATGACGATATGAATAATAGACAACGAGGTTATGAATAATACCAATTATGATATAGATTATCGACAATGATAATATCGTGAATCAGTTGTATTATTTAACAAATTAATAGGTCCGCCATTTCTAAATTTGATTAACTTTTTACTGTTATTACTATATACACTATATCTACTTTCTATTGTCATTCATTTTGTTCTAATTCTGGTAAATAAATCCTATCACACTCATTATACTAACAGCACTTGTACAAACAAGTCAAGGAGAGACAGATCATATCCCACTCATTCGGACCAACACAGTACTGTATAAGAAAACAATTGCCATTCTTCGCTAATGTTTAAATGGTTATACTCATGCTATTGTCTCAGGCTTTTATTAGTAAGAATCGGAAGACTCAAATAGGGTCACGCCCTTGGTCATGATTTTGTGAAATCGACATCTGTATCCTATATCCTAATGTCATGATTTTGTGAATGATAATATATAACATCTGTTTATAAATAATAAAAATATCACGTTGTTTGTAATTATTAATAATCGGACCAAACAACAACTTTACGTGATTTCTCACAGCTGACTATTGAAGCACCACATGGATTCCATGTTACAGCAATAACTGCATGACTGAAAAAAAAAACATAGAAAAATTATACAGTCAGATATAATACGAGTTTCCCTCTAATTTAAAGTCATTTGAGGGGTTGTTAATCCCCTGTAAAATATAATATTGTGAAAATTGAATTTCTAAAAGAAGAGAGAGAGAGAGAGAGAGGGGGGTGTTTAATATCCACTCGACACAGTCAGTTATAATACGAGTTTCCCTCTAATTTAAAGTCATTTAAGGGGTTGTTAATCCCTTACAAACTACAATATTGAGAAAGAGAGAGAGGGGGAGGAATGGAGTTTAACATCCACTCGACACAACTAGGTCATTTTGGGACTAAAATATGATTCAATTTTATTTCAATAATTCGCTTGCACGTAGTGGTCTTTAGCAGTGGGAGGAAACTGGAAGACCCCAAGAAAACCCAGAGAGAGAGAGAAAGAGAGAGAGAGAGAGAGAGAGAGATGGGGTTTAACATCCACTCGACACCACTAGGTCATTTTGGGACTAACATATGGTTCAATTTTATTCTAATAATTCGCTTGCGCGTAGGGGTCTTTAGCAGTGGGAGGAAACTGGAGGACCTGGAGAAAACCCACAAAGTTGGACAGGCGACCCTACTCCTTGTCACGTACAAACGGGGAATCGAAACCACGCCAGTTAACTCAATGACAGACCTTATGTTAGAACGCGCACGCGCTAACCATTCAGCAATCCATCCCCCCCCCCCCTTCTAAAGGAAATGAAATGAGGTTTAACATCCTACTGTTTTGCTCGGACTAGGCTCATGAAGACGGGAATCTTTAAAGGGGTTGATTAAATTCCATTCAGTATTACAAAGAAATGTTAAAGGAGCTAAATCGCTAATATTTGGGACCTACAAATTGACACAAATGGGTCACTATGTATATAATAATGTAATATGAATGTAAATAAACTGATTTACATTCAATCGTTCTCGTTTTTACTCGAATTTCAAAGCAGTTATGTTCGGCGAAATACGCCAGAAGTCTCAATCCAATGGCAATCTCTAGTGTCTGGTTATTCTAGTCTACACCGATAGTATTTATTGCACATGTTCTCCAGATACGAATATGGGGATCACCGTTTGACATGACTTGTGGAAAATGTTTAACCTCGTTCTTCGAGTCGCTTGCTACAAATTGCGCTGAAACGCATTATGGTACACGATTCGTGTACCAATCGTAAAATGTTTATTTTGTCTTAAATATTAGATATCAGAAGCCCATCTTTTTCCGGTAAGATCACAACACCAATGTTGATTAAAATTGACAAATAATTCATGTTTTCATTGTCGAAGGTTTTGGATGATATTGAGTTAGAGACTTAGCTACTTTAAATAGAAAGTCTGTCAATATTTTGAAATTCCACAGCAGAGGATATATATAGGATTTAATCAAGACAAGTCAACATCACCTACGATTTAATCTGAACTGTTTTTATGTGCTTCTATTCAATCTGATGGAAATCCAGAGATTATCTGATGCTGATATTTTTATTTTGTTTTAAAACTTCATTATGTTCAAACTCTTAAAGATTTATTATGGGAGATTTTTATAGAGAGTTGGCCATTCTTGCTATAACAGTTCAAAAGTAGATGATGAAAGAAGAATTTATTGAAAATTTCAGTCAAATTACTTTATTCTGAACATCGTTGTAATATTTGACTAGAAATGGTAGTGAAATGTGCCTTCACCTTGGCCGAACGTTTGATTAACAGGCGTTAACTCCACCTACATATCTCGATTATCAAGTAAAGTTTTCAATGGCATGCGGAAACGCTCTACAGCGGCCTCGCTAAGTACACTCTATCATTTAGCCTCGATCTAACTGACGTATTCTCATTAGGGTGCGCCATATTTGAATTTATCAATAAGTGAAATCCTATTTAAATCCGAGCTGTAGCTGAGCCATCCGTGGGTCTACAGAGTTGATTTTGGGCTTGTTGTTTAAATAAAGATCTAATTTATAATTTCTATAACATCTGAAGCCTAAATTAAGACTTGCAATAAACAGATTTTGCTCTTGCATAATGTATGTTTAAGGGTCATTTACCAATTCAAACTGCCCAAGGATATCTTTTGAGGACTTATGACATATTTATAATGTGTAGTTACACTTAAAAAAGTCCATCATGTGTAGTTACACCTGAATCACTTAAAAGTCCATCATGTGCAGCTACACTTGAATCACTTAAGGGGACAATAACACTCTTGCTGGCTTGACAGCTCCAGAAAATAAAAAATAGCCTTATTCTAAGTACTAGATGTTTAAGTGTCCTACCTGTTGTGTAAATTATCCATTAAATCCTATTTTACTTGTCCAGAGGGTTCAAAAATATTTTTAAATCCAAGTAACATTTGAAAAGCTTTATGTCAGGCTTTTCAAATCATTTAGTTGAATTTTTCCAATTTTTTAAATTAGGTGTGTTAAGATGAAATTTGTATCATCAATTAATTGGAATATTGTAAAATAGTACAATTTGTTGACCAGAATAAAGATTGGGACATATTATTCAGTTACAACAAGAGTGGTATTGAGCCTTTAAAGTCAATCATGTGTAGTTACACTTGAATCACTTAAAAGTCCATCATGTGTAATTACACTTGAATCACATAAAAGTCCATCATATTTAGCTACACTTACATTATTTAAAGATACATTATGTAGGATTTAGATAAAGAACTAGCCATTTTTGCTATAAGAGTTCGAAAATAGATCGAAAATAGAAAACAAAATTAATATATTGAAAATTTCATTTAAATTACTCTATTGCGAGCGAAGATATTAGCTTTTGAAGGTTTGACAAGATAGGTACATTGATTGTAACCACCGTACTGGTTGTTCAAAGTTAAGCCTAGCTCTCCCATTTTTAAATTAAATCAAAATATGGCTGAACTGTTCTAATCTACTTACTACAGGAGATATCCAATGCCATTGAGAGTTGATAACGGTCTTTTCATGTTAATAAATATCTAATTAATAGTTTATAACATTTCAGGCCTAAAGAAAGACTTGCAATAGGCAGATTTAGCTCTTGCATAATGTATGTTTAATTACATAAGTAAACTTGATAATAAAATATCTTACTTATGGTCTTTGAGCACCTTCTCAACTTTTTTAGTTGTAATATTCCACACATACAGAGCACCATCATGACTTCCACTGGCAACAAAATTACCATCAGGACTAGACAAAGAAATTTTAAAATTACTTTCATACACAATACCTTATTGTTATGTGGTGGACTCGACCCTCTGATTATGTTATATTAAACCAAAAGTAGAAACAGTCAAAAAAATACTAGGCAACATATATATTTACATTTACCATTAGGACTAAACAAAGAGAGAGAGAGAGAGAGAGAGAGAGAGAGAAAAAGCATCGGATTAACGTCCACACACAAACTAGGTCATTTCGGGACTAACACATGGTTCAATTTTATTTCAGTAATTCGTTTGCGCGTAGGGGTCTTTAGCAGTGAGAGGAAATCGGAGGACCAGGAGAAAACCCATGAGATTGGACAGGCGACCCTACTCCTAGTCACGTAGAACCGGGGAATCGAAACCACGCCAATTGACTCAATGACAGAGCTTATAATACAGCGCGCACGTGTTAGCAATTCGGGATTTAGGTTTCGTTGTCAAGCTACTATGAACATGCTATAGTTCATTTATCATCGTGTTCGATCCCTGCATTGGCCGAGAAAGTTCATCGGGATTTTCCAACGTGGTTTCCTCTGTCTAATTGTTCGAATGGAACGAAAAACCGAGGTCCCGTGTATAGATTGGCATACACATAAAAGATCCCTTGACAGTTGAGTAGGCCATAGTGCCGCTGCCCGGGCAAAATTCCCTCATTGCACACTGTACTGCGTATGCCCGTCTTCGTTAGGCCAGTCGGAGCAGAACAGTAGGACGTTAAACCTCATTTCATTTCATTCCATTTATCGTAGAGTAAATAGTGGGGCAAATAATGATGATGTCACAACATGCGCTTTTGGTACAATTTCCTGACATGCAATGTATGTCTACTATTCTGGGGGCTCCCTTTTTTTCCAACTGCCGTTGTTTCGAATCCCCGGTTGTACGTGACAAGGAGTAGGGTCGCCTGTCCAACCTCGTGGGTTTTCTCCGGGTCCTCCCACTGCTAAAGACCCATACGGGCAAGCGAGAGAGAGTTTAACATCCACACAAACTAGGCCATTTCCTGACTAACCTAATTAACCAACATTTTAATTCCTACATCCACGATTTTAGTTGAAAACAATGAGTATGCTTTTAGAAATTTTTAGAAGTATTTATTTCTCTTCTATTGTCATATTGAATGAAATTAAATATGTTTATTTAGCCATTGTGTGTATGAAAGATGTCAAACTAATCAAAGCCGAATCACAAAATAGTCCTCTAATTATTCAATATGACGGCACCCATAAAAGGTAATTTCACAGAGGCGGTTTTGTTTGCGAAGTTAGGAGTATCTATCCTTGTTTTGAAAGATAAACAGATTGAAACTCTAAAGACAGTTTACAATGGTAAAGACTGTATTGCAATATTACCCACTAGCACATATTATATATCGCTTTTATCGGAGTGGCAGAAGTTGACATTTTGCCAACCTGACATATGTGTTTATATAAAACACGTGCTTTGGGTTATTTTTACTCTGTTGTGTATACAAAAGCAGTAGTCCAGTCGATAAGTCCCGCCCAAAATGATCATGTGAGCGTTTTAAATAGACGGCATTTGGGACAGTGATCTATTCTTGAAGTATAACGTAGATGGATCGCTGCGTGCAGTATGAATTCTCTGTTTTTATGTGGTGGATTCAGACCTCTGATTTTGTTATGTTAAACCAAAAGTAGAAACAATCCTGAAAATTCATTTAAAAATAGATGTTTTAGATTTATGCATTACATACCTGAATACAGCCCTTGACCAATCACAGCTAGCTTTGAAACCATCAGCACTGAAAAAAAAGAAACATAAATGTTTTAAGACAGTTGCAGATTAAAGTGAATGAACAAATAAATCTCTGTGAACCTCCCTACAATTAAAATACATCAGAGAGAGATGAAAGACAACACGTGGCTAATGTACAAAGTGTCTGTACATTATTTGTACTCAACAAATGGTGGATGTGTTAAGGCAGGACACTACTTTATAAAACACTCTGTATAGATTGATCTGTCAAATTTTGATATCAGCTAAAATTGCCCAAAATAGTTAAAATTTGTTGATTTTTCAAGTCGTGTCCAGCCTTTATATTATATAGTGTTAAATATTTAGTCATTTGTATAGGTAAATCAAATTTTTAACTTTTAACTTGCTTTTTTCCGTACTCAATTTTTCACCCATATCAGGCCCCGAGTTCACAAAGCATTCTCAGACTTAAGTTGAGAATTTGCTCAACATTCAATCACTGTTTATGAGAAATATCTTTGATGCAGAAACACAAAACTTTGCACATAGTTTCTTATTGATGTATTTGATACATTAAAACAACAAAATTATTATAAAGGGCTATATTTTGGTTAAAATAAGGTGAACAAGTTTGAGTAAATTCTCAACTTAAGTCTGAGAATGCTTTGTGAACTCGCGGCCTGGTCTTAGAAAATCAAATTCTCAAAATCTATGAGAGATAATAGTCTCATCTTTGGAATACGATTAGTGTTATAGCTACTGTTTGCAATAAGGTGATTTTCAAAGTGTTTGTTATACATTTGGACATTTTATTGTACAAAATCCTTTTAGTGGTGTGTTCGGCCACACCCACTTGTTTTATGTGGGATGCATAATGTTCTTTATTAACATTCAAATAGTAAAATTTATGCCTTATTGCACTCTTTAATGCCTATATATGTTATTCCAAATCACAAATAGTTTGTTTCAATAAAATTGTTGAAGATTTTGATTTCCTAACATAGCCACCGTGAATATATAAAAAAATCCAATATGGCCACCATTTCCATGACAACAAATAAATATTTTGCGCTCAGATTATCAAATCTGATTTGGGACATCATATACTAATATTACACTAAATGGCAAGTTTCTGTTATCAATGTAAAATTCTTAGGTAGTGTCCTGCCTTAAAAAAATTTACCTGAAATTCAAATTGTATTTAAAATTATGTATATTATGTTCTTGGTGGTTTGGAGGTTGCTGTATAGAGCAGGAGAGAGGGAGAGAGAGAGAGATGGGGTTTAACATCCACTCGACACAACTAGGTCATTTTGGGACTAACATATGGTTCAATTTTATTTCAATAATTCACTTGCACGTTGGGGTTTTTATTAGCAGTGAGAGGAAACCGGAGGACCCAAAGAAAACTCACGATGTTGGACAGGCCCAACCCCCCAGTAGAGCACTGGCCCCTATACTAATATGTGGAAATGTAGAATCAGATATTGAATTAATATAATATATATATATATTACGTCCTTGGTGGTTTAGAGTCTGCTGTAAAGAGCAGTAGGACACTGGCAGAGGTCGAATTCCAGCATGGGACGAAAAGAACCTTTGACATTTTTCAAGACCAGTTCTAAACTGTCAGGGGTGGCATCAACAACCATTAATTCAATCACCGGAATTGTTTTATAGTAAATTATTCAACATTCAAATTGCCTTTATGTATATATATAGCTACACATATAACTCAAGGTATGGTGATGGTGATTTAGACAACGAATTGACTTTATGTATGACTCAAGGTATGGTGAGGTCGCGGTTAATTAAAGATACATTAGTTAAGAGTTTAATAAAGAGTTGGTCATTCTTGCTATAATAATTCAAAAATAGATGATAAAAAAAGAAAATATTGAAAATTTCAGCCAAATGACTTCATTTTGAGCCTAATTATCACTGTTTATTGTTTTGACAAGATGTGTGCATAGTGGTAACTAGCACAGCGCACTGGTATATTCGCGAATATATATATGGCGAACCGTTTTAATCTAGTTAAAATCTCGAGTATCCGATGCCATTGAGAGTTGATTATGATCTTGTTATGTTAATAAATGTCTAATTAATAGTTTAAATAACATTTCAGGCCTAAAGAAAGACCTGCAATAGGCAAATTTAACTCTTTCATATTGTATGTTTAATTGTTCGTTTCTTATGACTTGCCTGCATTTCCGTTTTCATCCGTAATAATTACACACTTCCATAATTTTTTAGTCAAATTTAGTGAGGTTAAAAATTTGTCCAGTAAAACTATAATTACTTCATGTAGCATGTGTATTTCACAAACTCAGGATGTGAGAAACAAACAATATGGGGATGTAGACAACGAAGGAATCCCAAGGAAATATATTCTGTTTATACCAGGCCGGGGGGTTGGATGGCTGAATGGTTAGCGTGCGCGCGCTGTATCATAAAGTCTGTCATTGAGTCGACTGGCGTGGTTTCGAATCCCCGGTTGTACGTGACAAGGAGTAGGGTCGCCTGTCCAACCTCGTGGGTTTTCTCCGGGTCCTCCGGTTTCCTCCCACTGCTAAAGACCCCTATGCGCAAGCGAATTATTGAAATAAAATTAAACCATATGTTAGTCCCGAAATGACCTAGTTTGTGTCGAGTGGACGTTAAACCCCATTTCTCTCTCTCTCTCTTATACCAGGCCCCGAGTTCACAAAGTATTCTCAGACTTAAGTCAGTCGTTGTTGTTTGTATTTTAGAGGAGAGCCGAAAAAAGCTCTCCTTAATCAACAATTTGAAAAAATTGCTCCCCTAAAAAAACTCTCCTAGTTTCGATATGAAGAGTGATTTAGAAATGAAGGAGAGTGATCTGATATTAAGGATAGTGATTAGTTGTGTGTATGGGAAATGGTTCTGAAGATCAATAACTGCATGTTAGGGGATCATTCGTGGATTCATAAATGATAATAAACCCCCCATGACTTTATAAAGGAGAGCGATTTTCAATTTTAAGGAGAGGGAGAAAAACCTTCCCTTGGTTGACTTTCAGGTGAGCGGCAGGCGCTCAAGAGCAATCGTTCGCCTTAAAAAACAATGACTGATTTAAAGATACATTATGGGAGATAAGATAACGAGATGGCAGTTCTCGCTATAATAGTTAAAAACTAGATAGTGTAAAGGTAATTTGCTGAAAATTTCAGTCAAATTGATCCACTATGAGCCGAGAAAGAAGCGGGTGAAATTTTTGCATAGTCTCGGTCATCATTACTAAAATCATTAATATAAACAGCTTAGTCTCGATTATCCACTTTTATTGATTTAATTATCAACGGCCGTTAGCGGCATATAGGAATCTAATCCAGCCAACATCGAAGGCTTGCCTTGACATCGAGAGTTTATTATGGTCTGGATAAGTTAATTAATGTCTAATTGATAATTTAGATAACATTTCAGGCCTAAAGAAAGACTTGTAATAAGCAGATTTTGCTCTTGCATAATGCATGTTTAAGTTAAGAATTTACTCAATTTTCAATCACTGTTTATAAGAAATATATTTGATCTAGAAACACAAAACTTTGCACATAGTTTTTTACTGCAATATTTTACTTAAAATAAGGTGAGAGAGAGAGACAGAGAGATAGAGAGAGAGATGGGGTTTAACGTCCACTTGACACAAACCAGGTCATTTCAGGACTAACATATGGTTCAATTTTATTTCACTAATTAATCGCTTGCATGTAGGGGTCTTTAGCAGTGGCAGGAAACCGGAGGACCCGAAGAAAACCCACAAGGTTGGACAGGTGACCCTTTATAAAGGGAGAGAGAGAAATGGGGTTTAACGACACAAACTAGGTCATTTTGGGACTAACATATGTTTTTAAATTTTATTTCAATAATTTGCTTGCGCGTAGGGGTCGTTAGCAGTGGGAGGAAACCGGAGGACCCGGAGAAAACCCATGAGGTTGGACAGGTAAAGGTTCACCTTTTTGATTTGTACAAATCATAAATATTATTCAGAACACCATATGCTACCTAACATAAGAAATATTTGTAGTTGAACTCTGTTAAAGGGAACGGAAGCCTACACTGTAACCCAGCTATCATTTAATCTTGTGTATCTAGCACTAATTTGGGCACAAGTACAAATTAGATGATTTATGGTGATTTTAAACGTTTTTTTACGAATATTTAAACAAAGATGATATTAAACAAATGTGAAAGAAATTAGTGCTAGATACACAAGATTAAATGATACCTGGGTTACAGTGCTATTGACTCTATTTCCTGAAGCTGACAATGACTTCTGGTGCTACATGTAGTGACCTTACTCTAACCTTTGTTAACCCCAAATAAAATGTCCCACAAGCAAAATTTTGAAACAGCATTCCTGACTTAAAGTTACAATTTCATATTTTTAAGTTATATTTTTAAAATGTATTAAAATAAAGCCCTAAAATAGATGGTATCTATAAACAGTCCTACTTTGTTAAAGAATAACCCTACTTATCCTATAATTCACTATTGCTAGTTGAGAAATTGGCAAAATTATCATTTTCAACTTCAAATTCAAAGGTTTGAAGATAGCTATTCCATGGTGGGGAATAGGAAAACAAGGGAGGTAATTGGGAGGTAATTGTGTTATTATTTCCGGTGTGAAGATTTTTAAGTGTCAGAAAGATAACCTATGATCGTATAATAGTGAGTTTACAACCTATTGAGCAAAAGACAGAAATAATTATGTTTTGACTTTCTTAGAAAATATGAAATTGTAACTTTAAACCCAATTTTTCTCTCTCTCTTTTTCATGTCTGCCATATCACTATGGAAGGGTATCGCTGCCAATATTAAATGCTCTGCTAAAATATCTTTTCCCTTGATTACATGTAAAAAGTACAATTTGACGTTTTACAATTAACTTTGGCCTTAGAGGTATTTTGACTTTATCATTACCGGTATTAGGACTTTGAACATTGTATTTTTAACATATAATCAATGGAAAAGACATTTAATATTAGCAGCGATACCCTTCCATATATCACTTGGGTGGAAGCGAAAGAACCTTAAAGTAGCTAAGTCTCTAACTCAATATCATCCAAAATCTTCAACATTGAAAACACGAATTATTTGTCAATTTAAATCAACATTGATGTTGTGATCTTACCGGAAAAAGATGGGCTTTTGATATCCAATATGTAAGACAAAATAAACATTTTACCATTGGTACGCGAATCGTGTACCATAATGCGCTTCAGCCCCAGTTGTAACAAGAGACTCGAGAGACGAGGCTAGACACATTGCACCAAATCAAACGGCGTATGTAGACTGGAATAACCAGACGCTATAAATTTGCACTCGATTGAGACTGCTGGCTTATTTCGATGAACATAACTGATTTGAAATTGAAGTAAAAACAGAAACCATTGAATGTAAATCAGTTTATATACATTCATATTACAGTATTATATGCGTTGCGACCCACTTTTGTCAATTTCTAGGTCCCAAATGTTAGCGATTTAGCTCCTTTAAATAAAGCGCTCTCTCTCTCTGTCTCTCTCTCTCTCTCTCTCTCTCTCTCTGTCTCACTCTCGTCTCTCTCTGTCTCTCTCTGTGTCTATCTCTCTGTCTCTCTCTGTCTCTCTCTCTCTGTCTCTCTCTCTCTCTGTGTCTCTGTGTGTCTCTCTCTGTCTCTCTCTCTCTCTGTCTCTCTCTCTCTCTCTCTGTGTCTCTGTGTGTCTCTCTCTCTGTCTCTCTCTGTCTCTCTCTCTCTGTCTCTCTCTCTGTCTCTCTCTCTGTCTCTCTCTGTCTCTCTCTGTGTCTCTCTCTGTCTCTCTCTCTGTCTCTCTCTCTGTCTCTCTCTCTGTGTCTCTGTCTCTCTCTCTCTCTGTCTCTCTCTCTGTCTCTCTCTGTGTCTCTCTCTGTCTCTCTCTCTGTCTCTCTCTCTCTCTGTCTCTCTCTCTGTCTCTCTCTGTGTCTCTCTCTCTGTCTCTCTCTGTGTCTCTCTCTGTGTCTCTGTCTCTCTCTCTCTCTGTCTCTCTCTCTCTGTCTCTCTCTCTGTCTCTCTCTGTGTCTCTCTCTGTGTCTCTCTCTGTGTCTCTGTCTCTCTCTCTCTCTGTCTCTCTCTCTCTGTCTCTCTCTCTGTCTCTCTCTCTGTCTCTCTCTGTGTCTCTCTCTGTGTCTCTGTCTCTGTCTCTCTCTGTCTCTCTCTCTCTCTGTGTCTCTCTCTCTGTCTCTGTCTCTCTGTCTCTGTCTCTCTCTCTCTCTCTCTCTCTCTTTGCATTACAAACTATTACCAAAATAGATATAGGTCAGGTAATTAAACTTAACAAATCAATTAAGGGATTTGTTCTTGATTAATTAATCCACCTCTTTTCTTCCTCATTCAATCTGCTAATTTAAGTACTCTTTTATTAATCTACCATTGTCTTTGATTGATAAATCAGGATGAAAAAAATTGGCGCCGGACCAGAAAATCAATTCAATTTGACTGACTAAATTAATCAAACACGCACGTAACGATGGGTAATAATTAGCTATTTTAATTAATAAATTAATTAATTCCTAATAGGTAGTAGATATAGACAGGTGACGTGCTTATGTTATTATTACGTTTTGTCTACACCATAGCGTGGGTACAAAGATTTGTCATAGATCTTTCATTTTCATTGATTTACCTGTCAAAATGAAATGAAATGGGGTTTAATTAACATCCACTGTTTTGCTCCGAACCGGGCTAATGAAGACTGGCATTGCAATATACAGTGTGCTATGAGGGAAATTTTGCCCAGACAGCGGCATTATGGCCTACAGTTATATCGAATTCCAACTGTCAAGGGATCTTTTACGTGCATGCCAATGTGTACACGGGACCTCGGTTTTCCATCCCATCCGAACAACTAGACAGCTGTCCTTGTCAGGCCCTCCATCCTGCATCATGTCAAAAGTATACATGTACCATTCCACTATCTAATCACAATCATAGTCAGTTCAAAAAGAGCATTATCTTTTTTTTCATGATCTTACCAATGTTCATGTCATATCAGTGCAAAAAGAGTGTTATTTTTTTTTATTCCAGAACAAATTTTAATTGCAGTTCTATGGGTTGTATTTTAATAGGGAAAAAAACAAAACATTTGTTGCTAATGTAGAGCATAATAAAAATAAAAACACAAGGAAAATAGAAAAAAAAAATAATTATAAAGAAGAGTCTGACAGCCAAGAGAATAGATAAATTTGAGTGCATAAAAAATAAGTAAATTAGCTGTATAGCTTAACCCTTTCGTACTTGATACATGTAAATATTGATTACCCTAGTTTCTTTAAGAAAATCAAGAAAAAAGAGAGAGAGAGAGAGAGAGAGAAAGAAAGAGAGAGAGAGAAAGAGAGAGAGAGATGGGGATTAACGTCCACTCACACAAACTAGGTCATTTCAGGACTAACACATGGTTCAATTTTATTTCAGTAATTCGTTTGCGCATAGGGGTCTTTAGCAGTGAGAGGAGATCGGAGGACCCGGAAAAAGCCCACCAGGTTGGACAGGCGACCCTACTCCTTGTCAGGTACAACCGATGAATCGAAACCACGCCTGTTGACTTAATGACAGACCTTATGATACAGTGTGCACGTGCTAACCATTCGGCCATCCAACCCCGTCCCCCATAGACTTACTGTTAAAACATATACAAGCCAATTGATTATTGATTAATTTTTGAACAGTGGTCAGGAAATTAAACAAATTAGATGATTTTGGGTGATTTTAAATGATTTTTACGAATTTTTAAACAAGGATTTGATATTGAATGAACGTGAAAGAAATTAATGCTAGATACACAAGATTAAATGATACCCAGGTTACTGTATGCATCTTTAATAATGAAAGTCAGACACAGACACTTAAACAATATCAAACTAATCAAATTACACTTATGTTAAAAATACACACGTCTGATTACATAATGTCGTGTAAAACCTCACAATCAATTAAGAAAAAAAAAAATTCGGAGAAACTGAAACGATCAGGTGATGTCAACTGTGTTGTATGTTTTTTTGTTTAGCAACACGATATCCGTTTTGATTTAACTAAAGAAGCAGGATTTAGGTGTCACATTCTTAAATGAGTGAAATAAGATTTTGGTATCATATTCTTAAATGAGTTAAATAAGATTTAGATATCACATTTTAAATAAGTCAAATAAGATTTAGGTATCATATTCTTAAATGAGTGAAATAAGATTTAGGTATCATATTCTTAAATGAGTGAAATAAGATTTTGGTGTCACATTTTAAATGAGTTAAATAAGATTTAGATATCACATTCTTAAATGAGTGAAATAAGATTTAGGTATCATATTCTTAAATGAGTGAAATAAGATTTAGGTATCATATTCTTAAATGAGTGAAATAAGATTTAGGTATCATATTCTTAAATGAGTGAAATAAGATTTAGGTATCATATTCTTAAATGAGTTAAATAAGATTTTGGTGTCACATTTTAAATGAGTTAAATAAGATTAATACATAATTTTCGTTTAAGGTAACATTCCATTTCTAGATTTTGAATATTGCAATCTGATTAAAACACAGATCCTATTTCGTTTCGTTTTTATAGATCAAAATTTCGTTTTACTTGGGTTACAGTGATACTTCAAAGAGATTTTTCATAGGTTGGAGGATTCCAGAAAAAAACTGCATTATAACTAGCAGACGGCAACTCTACGTCTTATCACATATAATCAAAGGGGGGAGGGAGATAGAAATAGGGTTTAACATCAAATCGACACAAACTAGGTCACTTCAGAACTAACATATGGTTTAATTTTATTTCGATAATTCACTTGCACGTAGTGGTATTTAGCATCAGAAGGAAACCGGAGAAAACTCACGAGGTTAGACAGGCGACCCTACTACTTGTCACCTACAACCGGGGAATCAAAACAACGCCAGTTGACTCAATGACAGACTTTAACCATTCGGCCATCCAATCGAAAAATAAATGAATAATATTGACGACACACAAATCTTTTCAAAGCATTCAAGGGCAATAACTCTTAAAGTAATTATTGGAGAGAGAGAGAGAGAGAGAGAGAGAGAGGGAGAGGGGTTTTATCTTATGGGGTTTAACCTCCACTCGACACAGACTAGGTAATTTCGGGACTAACATATGGTTCAATTTTATTTCAGTTTAACCTCCACTCGACAAACTAGGTCATTTTGGGACTAACATATGGTTCAATTTTATTTCAATAATTCGCTTGTGCATAGGGGTCTTTAGCAGCAGAAGGAAACCAAAGGACCTGAAGAAAACCACGAGGTTGGACAGGTGACCCTACTCCTTCGCCATCACCTCCCCCCCCACCCACCCAACCTCCCACTATAATCAAAGGATTGTGTTTTGAATGTTAATCAACTATGAAAAAGAAAACACTAACCAGAATGTTGATGAAACCTGATTCATTCTCAAATCAATAATTTTCATTGAATCATCTCTGGTAGAACACAATAAACTCATTCTATCTGAAAAACAACAAATCCAAGCACTGCCATTATTATATCTTTTTATCATGTATAATTAGAAATTTGTATTTTCATTGAGAAAATCAGACGAGTGGTTGCCAGGCAAGATACACCCACATTTTGCAAGAGATAGAAAGAGAACACATTAAAAAAGTGATTTTTGTAAAATCAGGGCCCATAATTCACTATGTTACAGTCCGACATGCTACAATATCTAAAGAAACCAAGAACGTTGAGATATAAACATATATTTTAAATTTGATCAAATCAGATAAAAATTGTGACCTCTGAGGGTCCACAAGATAAAAACGTGACTTTTCGTACAGTCAGCGGTCATCATCCATGATCCAAGATCATTGGGATATAAAAATATATTTTAAGTTTCATGATATAAACATTCATTTTAACTTTCATCAAATTCAGATAAAAATTATGACCTCTAGAGGTTCCACAGCCTTGGTATTACATAAATTTACAAAATTAGAGTACATGGAGCGCCACTTTGTCCCGCTGTTTCGGTCATTAGGGTGTAGCGGTGATATATAATTCGCTTGCTCGTAGGGGTCTTTAGCAGTGGGAGCAAACCGGAGGACCCGGAGAAAACACACTGGGGTTGGACAGCCAACCCTACTCCTTGCCACATGAGATTGGACAGGTGACCCTACTCCTTGTTATGTACAACAGGGGATTCGAATCCACGCCAGTTGACTCAATGACAGACGTTACAATACATCGCGCACATGCTAACCATTCGGCCATCCGACCCCCCTTCTAGGACTAAGCTCATGAAGACAGCACTACGCTCTATCACATGGTTTGAATAGTCACGATCAGAGTCTGACCTGAACGTCATTCGGATTCAGACAAGTTTGACTAAAGTACGAAGGTCTGAAGATTACAAAGGGGGTGCTCGATTGTCAGTCCGGAATGTCCCGAATTGACAGAATTACAATCAAGTGATACAGAATTCAGTTCTGCCAGTCCCGACAGATGAGGTGGTGTGAGTAGAATCATGACATATTTTAAGTGACAAATATTGACACTATTTTCGGAATTGAGAGAATTTAATTCCAGAATGTTCAATCGAGTATCATTAATGCACTGTTACCTGGAGATAGATCTAGAGAGGTAACTCTTCCCTGTAGAAGTATTTCATTTGCTGTACTGTCTGATCGGGCATCCCAAAATCGTAGACGTTTATCAAAATGTCCACTGATTATATTATTACCATGTAACGTGACTAAATCATTACAACTTGAACCAGCAAATATCGTTTTAACACCTGAAATAGACAGAGAGATTGGGTTTAACGTTCACTCGATACAAACTAGCTTATTTCAAGACTAACACATGGTTCAATTTTTATTTCAATAATCCACTTGCGCGTAGGGGTCTTTAGCCGTGGGAGGAAAACAGAGAAAACACACGAGGTTGGGCAGGCGACCCTAATCCGGGGAATCGAAACCACGCCAGTTGACTCAATGACAGGCCTTATGATACAGCGCACGCTAACCATTCAGCCATCCAACCCCCTGCACCTGAAATAAAACATCAACATAGATTATTCAGCTGTAACGTAATACCTGATGTTACAGGAAGTAAATCTGAATGAAATCGAAAGTACACCGTTGGCTCAATTATCAAGTATGCAACTTGGATACATGTTATTGACAATCACAAATGATACTGGATAATTATATGTTACTATAAACTACATAATGAGATAACAGTAGTGCCTTCAAATGTGATGTTTGTTAAAAGGCAATTAGCGACAGGATCCTTTAAAAAACTTAAAACTACCCCCTCACACATCAGATTTGCGAGAAGGAATTTTTATTTTATTTTTATTTTGTTTGGGGGGAGAGAGAGAGAGAGAGAGAGAGAGAGAAAGAGAGAGAGTGGACTAACATAGTTCAATTACATTTAAAAAATTCACTTGTGACTACTCGGACTACTCAGACCGTTCGGGATGTTTCACCCGGGTAAACTCGGCAATGGAGTCGACTCGAGTGACGCGAGTAAACGACAAAAACCTTACCATAGGGGTCTATAGCAGTGGGAGTAAACAGGAGGACCTGGAGAAAAAAGACAAAAAAGACAAGGTTGGACAGGCGACCCTACTCCTTGACTCAATGACAGACCTTATGATCTGAAACACCTGTTAAGCCATACGGTGACAGACATGGCGTCTAACAACAGTTTATTTATAGCTATAGGTATCCCCAGCAAATACAAAGTTTTGAGAGGGAACTGAAGCCAATTTTTGATAAATTAATTAGTTTGAATATGTTTTTAGTCCAAATATATCGTCAAATCCCACAGTTTGTACGAAAGTATCTTTAACAAAAGTCTGTAACAAAAACAATCTTACATGCTCTACTGTGTAAATCCCAGATTTTTAAAGTTCTATCATGACTGCCTGACACAACCTTATTAGATTCACCAAGGAAACGAGCTGCAAACACTTTACCACTGTGTCCGGTTAACGTATGCTGAAAAGATAGAATTGTTCTTTGTTGAAATCAATCTGATTATAATACAGATCTATATTTCGTTTTATTTTTTTATACTTTCGATGGCCTACACTACATGAAGAGAGAGTGAGAGAGAAATGGAGAGAGAGAGAGAGAAATGGTGTTTAACGTCCACTCGACATAAACTAGGTCATTTCGGGACTAACATATGGTTTAATTTTATTTCAATAATTCGCTTGCGCATAGGGATCTTTAGCAGTGGGAGGAAACCGGAGGACCTAGAGAAAACCCACAAGGTTGGACAGTCGTACCTACTCCTTGTCACATACAATCGGGGAATCAAAACCACGTCAGTTGACTCAATGACTGACCTTATGATGGCCCTCCACCCCAACCCCCTCTCTCAAAGGGATCAAAATACATCAAGAGAGAGAGAGAAATGGGGTTTAACATCCACTCAACACAAACTAGGTCACTTCGGGACCAACACATGGTTCAATTTTATTTCAATAAATCGCTTGCGCGTAGGGGTCTTTAGCAGTGGGAGGAAACCACGTACAACTGGGGAATCGAAACCACGCCAGTTGACTAAATGACAGACCTTATGATGGCCATCCACCCCACCCCCCTCCCCAAAAGTGATCAAAATACATCAAGAAATTGATTGACGATACTAAAAGTTCTAGGAGAGAGTAAAACCACTATTAATACATACCCGTAATCTTTGATCTGTTAATGACCAAACTCTACTTGCAAAATCACTTGATGCACCTAAAACCAAATTACCCTATAAAACATGGAAATAAACATTATTCATATTTCATAGGAAACAACAAGGTAATAATTAATAACGATAAGAGAATAATATATGTGTATAAACCAGTGATTGTTTTCCATATAAATTGTATTGTGTTTTTTAATGTACTCATCGCTAAATGCCACTCAAAGATTATAACTAATAGGTCTTTGAATTCAATTACTGTGATTAGATAAAATAACGGCAAATGACGACACGATTTATTCCATGCAGTTTGCTATGATGGAAATTTAAACCTGACAGCAGCATGGTAATTTTTAATTTTGAGTTACATGTGCAATGGCAATGCAAGGTAGGAGAATTTTGCCCAGATAGTGGCTAAGGTTTCTCTTAGGTGCACACCAATGTTTACATGGAACCTTATTTTTATCTGCACATCGACAACTAGCTGCTCTGTCCTTGCCATGCCCTCTGTCCTACACCACCAATAATAATAATGCTAATAATAATAAAACAATGAATTTATATAACGCAAAAACACTCTGTTAAAGTTTCTATTGCACTTTCACACAATTTTCAATTCTGGTAAGCTTCATTGAATAATAATGTTTTTAATTCTTTTTTGAAAATTATTACTGAGCTTGATCGTCTAATGCTTTGGGGTAGCAAATTCCAAAGGAACGGTGCCGAATACCAAAATAATCTCTTTGTAATTTCAAGATTGGTTGCAGGATGATGGAGCCTTGACTTCTCTGATGCAATACAAGTCCTGGTTGGTTTATATGGAGTTATTAAGTCACAATGGTATTGAGGTGCAGTTCCGTTGAGGGTTTTATCGGTTGTCAGTAGGATTTTGAATTTGATTCTCTGGATTACTGAGAGCCAATGTAATTCAAATAATTTTGGGGTGATGTGTTCGGATTTTTTTGTTCCTGTAAAATTGTGGGAAATTCTGAGACACTGTCTGTGTCAACATTGGGATCGAACCTCAGACCTCAGGATCTGATTCGATAAAAACTTACTGAAGATAGAAGCTTTAGGATGAGGTCACAAAGATTGACAATAAGTCATGTGAGAAACCCTCAAATCAACAGGACAGACTTACCTCTAAATCAAATTCTAATGCTGTAATACCTGCATTACTACCTAATAATGTTCCTTTATTTTCACATTCACCTGTAATAATTATTACAAAAATTCAGCAAATTTGAATTTATGTTGAAAAGTATTTGAGGTTATAGAATGCGGATCTCGTGATATATTACTAATCTATTCCAAAGGTAAAAAAAAACTCTACAGTAAGGCCCCCAAAATAATACCTGTGTTTCTGGTTATTTGACCCCAAAATATAGAGTTGGTCAGGCAGAAAAAATTCCTATTAGAATTTGTTCCTTGGGTTTGTCTGGAAAGATTGGACAGAGAGATAGAGAGGACTTGGGTTTAAGTTCCACTAGACACAAATTAGGTCATTTCGGGACTAACACATGGTTCAATTTTATTTCAATAATTCACTTGGGTGTAGGGGTCTTTAGCTGTGGGAGGAAACCCGGAGGACATAGAGAAAACCTATGAGGTTGGACAGGTGACCCTACTCCTTGTCACGTACAGCCAGGGAATTGAAACCACATCAACTGACTCAATGGCAGACCTTATGATACAGCGCGCACACGCTAACCATTCAGCCATCGGATAGAACTAACTGAACTAGTAATTCCATCTCCTTACAACCTACATTAACAGTTGTTTCTATAGACTTTTTAATACCATCTTAAATAAGGTAATAGAGGACTGCACCACACACAATTACACAAAACAGTTGTTTCTATAGACTTTTTAATACCATCTTAAATAAGGTAATAGAGGACTGCACCACACACAATTACACAAAACAGATCTATGGACAATACGAACGTACATATGAGTTAAATTGAATGGGTCCGTGGGCTAGTCGTAATCGTCCACTGCACTGTACAGTCTCGAGCCTGTAGTGATACAGACTTCACTCAAAAAAGAAAATTAACAATAAGGAGGAATATATCCAAAAAATATTGCATAATACCAGTACGAGTTACGAGTCATGATCTGTCATGTGCCACATGAAATATGAATGTAAGCATATTGAAGGGCAAAATTTACCTATACAAGTAACCATATCGGTGAAATGTAAAAAGCTAGGTAGCCTACAACTAAATGGTCTATGTTATAGTGAGAAACATAATAAGCGTTCGAAAGAATTGAGATCTATTGACAACAAATTTCCAGCATAATTACTAGTAAAAAATGCTGATTCAGAGTTTTGTAAATACCGAAATTTCAGTGCAGAAATCCACACCAAGACCGTTTTATAGGACCTGGAAAAGGAGAAAAGAGAGTTTAAGGTCAGAGATTTTGGTAAAAAAATAGGAGCAGTCAGTAAGCATGAACACAGGTATTTGGGGGCTAACAATGTCTTGAGGAATAAAATAAAACCAAGTACGAACAATCCAAACCATTAGACAATATTCGAAGTCCTAAAAAAACGGTACAGGCAAAATAGTGTAATAAGGCAAAATAGTGTAATCAGCATATGGACTGTTCACCGTGTACAAAATACACGACAAACAGTGGTAACAGGTGTCCGGTAGAGTAAGCTTACCCTGCCTGGCGCCACACCCACCATAGCTGCATCCAAACTATTAGGCGAAATCTCGGTAAAATAGCGTGATTGGCCAATGGACTATCGGTATGCAAAATGCACGTGATGAACAGTGTTAACGATGTAGTAGACAGACATTATCAGGGAGATTGTATACGCGTCAATTAAATATATCTAGAATAATAGCCGAGTTAACGAGGACTAGTCTTTTACGATATGAAAATCTGATTAAAACACAGAACCTATTTCGTTTCGTTTTCATAGTTCAAAATTTTGTTTTATTTGTCTTTACTACACTAGGGTCTGGAAGAGTTGTTATCATTGATGTGTTCTGAATGGTGTGACGGATTAGCCAATGAAACAGTCTGTTACAGCGAGCTTTAGGCATGTTTTGCACAGAACTGTGGGTAATCCACTAGTAACTTCGGTCAGATCTTCATGTAGTGTAGGCCATCGAAAGTATAAAAAAAAAAACGGAATACAGATCTGTATTATAATCAGATTGACTATATGAACAAAACTATTAACACTGTAACCCAGATATCGTTTAATCTTGTGTATCTAGCACTAATTTCTTTCACATTCATTTAATATCAAATCTTTGTTTAAAAATTAGTAAAAACTGTTTAAAATCACCAAAAATCATCTAATTTGTACTTGTGTCCAGTTTAAAGCTGACTGATTAATTTTGATAATGAGTGTCCAATTTACAAGTATTTAATTTCCTGATCACTGTTCAAAAATTAATCATTATACATCATTAATCAATTGGGTTGTTTATTTTTTAACAATGATTGAGAAATTAAACACTTGTAAATTGGACACTCATTATCAAAATTGAATGGTCAGCTTTAAACTGGACAGAAGTACAAATTAAACGATTTATGGTGATTTTAAACAGTTTTTACAAATTTTTAAACAAAGATTTGGTATTAAACGAATGTGAAAGAAATTAGTGCTAGATACACAAGATTAAACGATACCTGGGTTACAGACTAAATTAGGCTAAATATATCTTTTTAATGATATAAGATGAAAGGTAAAAGTTTAGATTTGACAAACAACGCAAAGTTTTAATATTTTAAGCCTGTTTCGACATTTTTGTTCATATATTATTATCGTAAACAATGACTTGTGACTTCCGACTCATTTCTCTCGTCACGAGTCACATTTTCATATCTTTTCTTACCATTCCTAATTTCCCAGAGTTTTATTTTTCTATCGCCACCTCCTGATGCAAATAATGTACCAGACGGATTAAAGCGAACAGCATTTACCTCCCCTTCATGGGCATCCTGAAAAAATCAAAATTTAAATATATATATCAAATGATATGGGGTTTTACACCCTACTTTTTCTGCACTGACTGGTCTAACAAAGATGGGCAAATGTCATACAGTGTGCTGACTGAGATTTTCAACATATTCATTTTTCATTATCTATTTTTTAACAATAATAAGCTCTTTATCTAAATCTTACATAATCTATCTTTGATTCCATAAACAACAAAATAAAATGATACTTACAAATTTACACATTGCTTTTGACATTTTTAACATATTCATTTTTCATTATCTATTTTTGAACTATAGCAAGCTCTTTATCTAAATCTTACATAATGTATCTCTAATTACATAAACAACAGTTTATTTTTGACTTACTAAATAAAATGATACTTACAAATTTACACATTGCTTTAGTAGGAACAGACGCACTCAAACAAACTGGTGGTATCCCAGGTAACAAAGCTTTACCTCTAAAAATATAATAAACAGTGTATATATATATAAACACCAAATATGGAGGTTGTGTTTTTAGAAATATGGTGCAATACAGTAAAATGAAGAATATATACCTCTAAAATATAATAGAGAGAGAGAGAGAGAGAGAAAGAGAGAGAGAGAGAGAGAGAAATGGAGTTTAATGTCCACTCGACTGTTATTCAATTTTATTTCAATAATTCGCTTACACATAGGGGTCTTTAGCAGTGGGAGGAAAGCGGAGTATTTGGAGAAAACTCACAAGGTTGGACAGACGACCCTACTCCTTGTCATGTACAACCAGGGAATCGAAACCACGCCAGTTGACTCAATGACAAACCTAATGATACAGCGTGCACCGCTAACCATTCGGCCATCTACCCCCCCCCACCCTAAAAATATAATAAACAATGTATATTTATCAACAACCAAATATAAACATCATGCTTTTCAGCGATATGCAGCTTTGTGGATTAACCTATCAGGAAATATTTACGATTTGATTTTTCTGATATGGCTTCTTCTTTAAATGTTACGTTTCCAAAAATACCTTTTCCGGCAAGTATTACTTCCTTGCAATGCCCTATTAAAGGGCTATTACGGGAGATCAGATAAAGAGTTGACAGTTTTCGCTATAATAGTTAACAGATAGATAAGGTAAAGAGAATATGCTGAAAATTTCAGTCAAATGGCCCACTTTGAACTGAGATATTAGCGATTGAATTTTAGGCCTAGTCTCAGTCGATACGATAAAAAACAAAGTCTCAATCATACATTTTGAAGTTAAATCATCCATCACAAAATGTATTCAAATCCAGTAAATATAGTGATGGCATCGAGAGTTGATTATGGTCTGGATAAGTTACTCAATGTCTAATTAATAATTTAGATAACCATTTCAGGCCTAAAGAAAAACCTGCAATAGGCAGGCAGATTTAGCTCTTGCATAATGTATGTTTAATCGGAATGAGACCAAACCAACTACAGCTACAATATAGTGAATATATAAATATAATCAGTAATAAAATAACTTACTGCTCTGTAATACTTATTGTTTCTTTAGCAGCCTCAGCTAATTCTTTTCTTAACTTTGCTTGACGTTGTCTGTATAATATAATAACAAATAGAAATGGTGAATGACAGATTTATTTTCTAAACAATTTTTGATATCATGAAAATGAAATGAACTAGGGTTTGATGATCTAATAAAGACAGGCATATGAATGTGCAGCGTGTTATGAAGAGAATTGTCCATGGATAGTGCCAAGGGGTCTTCTATGTGCACAGCAATGTGTACACAGCACCTCAGTTTTGTTTTTTTCTAAACAATATATATTCACAGAAACTGGGTTGGAGAACAAGCGGAAGCCTTCTCCTTGTCTCGTACATCCAGGGAATCGAAACCACGTTAGACCTGACTCAATGACGGACCATCTTTTTCTTACCCTTTAAGGTATCATTATTTTTTTTAAAAGGTATCATTTTTCTTGCCTTTAAAGGTATCATTTTTCTTACCTTTTAAGGTATCCATTTTTATTTTAAAAGGTATCATTTTTCTTACCTTTAAAAGGTATCATTTTTCTAACCTTTAAAAGGTATCATTTTTCTTTTAAAGGTATTATTTTTCTTACCTTTAAAAGGTATCATTTTTTCTTAACTTATAAAGGTATCATTTTTCTTACCTTATAAAGGTATCATTTTTCTTACCTTTAAAAGTATCATCTTTCTTACCTTTAAAGGTATCATTTTTCTTACCTTATAAAGGAATCATTTTCTTCATTTAATTTATCAGCATCTTTTGATTTTAGGTGCATCCATCTTTCTACGAGTTCACGATTTTCATCTTTGGATCTTCTATATTTTTCTTCTATTGTTGTAAAAGCTAATTGTAATGCTTGATGTTCATCTTTTAACATCTACAATAAAAAATATACACTTCACTATAAACGATCAAAAAGTTGCAAAAAAATGGCAATTCTACCATGGAGTATCTTAAAAAAAGAGGACCTTTCACTGTGTCCCAGATATCATTTAATCATTGTGTATCGAGCACTAATTTCTTTCACATTTGTTTAATATCAAATCTTTGTTTAAAAATTTGTAAAAGAAATTGGTGCTAAATACACAAGATTAAATGATACTCAGGCTACAGTGTTTTCTACTCAAAAACCTTTTCAGTCTATCAATTTTTGACTTATTTAATTTACTTAGGATTAGCAGGATATTTTTTCCCAAAAAATATGATACTGGAGTGAGCTCGATAAACAAAAAAGGCATGGTATAAATTATTCATTCATGAACAATTCTTAAAACTCAAACAAATATCTTACCTGATTTGTTGCCTCTAATTCTAATATTGTGGCTTCTAAGTTTTTTTGTTCTGTACGTAAAGCGAAGACCCGAACTTCGGAATCGGCAAGTCTGTAATCAAAAACACAATCAAATCTGATCATATGCCAACCAATTACAAGTTGTTAAATATATTAGGAAATCAGAGAGAGGGAGACAGAAATGGGGTTTAATGTCCACTAGACACAAATTAGGTCATTTCGGGACTAACATATGGTTCAATTTTATTTAAATAATTCGCTAGTGCATAGGGGTCTTTAGCAGTGGGAGGAAACCAGAGGACCTGAAGAAAACCCATGAGATTGGACAGGTGACCCTACTCCTTGTTATGTACACCCGGGGAATTAAAACCACACCAGTTGACTCAATGACAGGTCTTATGATACAGCACGCACGTCCTAACCATTCGACCATCCAACTCTCCATATTTGGAAATGAAATGTGCAGTGGGCTATAAGTGAAATTTTGTCTGGACAGAATTCCAACTGCACCCGCCTACATGTACCCGGGACCTTACTCTTTCTTTGGATCCAAATGACTAGACACCGTTCCTTGCCAGTTCATCCAACCTTTATCAATCACAAGGGGAAACTTGGGGACTCAGCTAATATTAGGATCGAACCTGGGACTCCTGGTTAGCGAGCCAGCACCATATTCACCAGACCACTGTCACTCCCAAGAGAGAAAGAGAGAGGTTTACCATCACTGTAATCTGGGTATCATTTAATCTTGTGTATTTAGCACTAATTTCTTTCACATTCGTTTAATATCAAATCTTTGTTTCAAAATTCGTAAAAACTGTTTAAAAATAAAATCACCATAAATCGTTTAATTTGTACTTCTGTCCAGTTTAAAGCTGACCATTTAATTAAACGCTTGAAAATTGGACACTCATTATCAAAATTGAATGGACAGAAGTACAAATTAGATGATTTTTGGTGATTTTAAAGGATTTTTATGAATTTTTAAACAAAGATTTGATATTAAACGAATGTGAAAGAAATTAGTGCTAGATACACAAGATTAAATGATACCTGGGTTACAGTGCATCCACTCAACACAAACTAGGTCCACCCAGGGGACTAACATACTGTTCAATTTTATTTCAATAATTCGCTTGCACCTAGTGGTCTTTAGCTGTGGGAGGAAACTGGAAGACCTAGAGAAAACCAACGAGGTTGGAAAAGTGACCCTACTCCTTGCCACGGGGAATCGAAATTGCGCCAGTTGACTCAATGACAGACCTTATGATAAAATGTGTTAACCATTTGCCCATCCAACCCCACATCCAAGAGAATAATCAAGATTAATTTGTTACTTATAAATTCATACTTACAAACCATCTTTAAGTTGCAATTCTTTTTCTTTTTCTTGTAATTTGTTATTTAAATCTATAATCTGTTGAGAATTCTACAATAAAGAAATTTTATTAACATACTTGCAAATTATTCAGATTAGCATGAGGTATTTTAAATGAATTCCTATAATAGGAAATTCTTGAACCCAGTGATCATTTAACAAAGTAAAATCAAACAAAACAAAAGCTGTCCTCACACAGGTTTGTCTGAGATTCCGGCCCCGAGTTCACAAAACATTCTCAGACTTAAGTTAAGAATTTACTCAACTTTCAATGACTGTTTATGAGAAATATCTTTGATCCAGAAACACAAAAATTTACACATAGTTTCTTATTGATGTATTTGATACATTAAAACAACAAAAGTTTTATAAGGGGCTATATTTTAGTTAAAATAAGGCGAACAATTTTGAGTAAATTCTTAACTTAACTTTGAGAATGCTTTGTGAACTCTAAAAAAAGCTTTCTGGTCCCTATACGGGGTGTCATTTTGTTGAAATACTAAGAAGCAGTTTTGAAGAAGAAAGGGATTTTATCAATCTCATTAAAATACAAACAGTTCTCCCTATTTCGTTTTCTTCTATTACACTCTCGATGGTCGTGTTAAGGGTCATACAAGAGGCTTTTGTCCAAGTGGTTATTTGGAAATGACAGCTTTTGCTTGCCATCGCTGTGAATGTCAACCCACAGTTTTCGGGTGCTGTACAACAAGAACTCGACTCAACAGTTCATTTGATTGGCTAATTCCTCACCTCAACCAGAACTCATGTTATTTAACAACTCTTCCAGATCCTAGTAAAGCAAAAGACAAGTAAAACGAAATTTTAAACTATAAAAAAAACCGCAACGAACTAGGATCTGTGTTCTAATCAGATTGGCCATTTTGTTAAATGGATTCTGGCCGAATGAGATTCCACAGGGTCTAAAATACAACAACTTTCATACCTCTCCTCTCTTTCTGTGTAATTCTGTTAATTCTTCCTGTAATCTGTATAGTTTTTGTTCTAATGCCTGAGTTTTTTCACCACTTCCAGTACCACCCCTAAAATATAAGTACAATAACATAAGAGAGAGAGAGAGAGAGAGAGAGAGAGAGAGAGAGTTTAACGTCCACTCCACATATGGTTTTATTTTATTTCAATAATCTGATTAAGCAGTCCACAAGGTTTGACAGGTGACTTTCCTCCTTGTTGCGTACAGGCGGGGAATCGAAACCACGCCAGTTAACTAAATGACAGACCATTTTTAAATTCAATCATTAAATGGTCGAATCGTTCTAATCTACCGGTAGTTAAATCTTGAGCATCCGATGGCTTCGAGATTTCATTATGGTCTTATCATGTTAATAAATGTCTAATCAATAATTTAGATAACATTTTAGACTTAAAGAAAGACCAGTAATAGGCAGATTTAGCTCTTGAATAATGTATGTTTAAATAGCTCTGGCCGAAGCAAAAATAACTTTAATAAAAAACAACCAAATCCTACATTCCAAAAGGCTATGTCTTAGAGCGGCCATTCTTCTATTATGAATTTTAATCATATAAACTTAACACATTTTACTTTGTTTGGCCTTATATACATGTACAGATAAACCATAGAAAAGGTGGGAGGTTCATGTGTACATGATTTTCAAGCATATTGAAGTAATTGATGACAATGAATTTGGACATGAAATGATAAATCAGTGTTCTTCCACTTGTCATAGAGTTACATTGTATAATAATATCACAGTCAAATGATAAATCACTGCTCTTCTACTTGTCATATAGTTACATTGTATAATAATATCACAGTCAACACTTACTTTCTAAAGGTGTAAAATTTCATCTTGATTATTATAAAAATCAAAATAAACAGAGTGGCTAATAAATCCAGCATTCTTATATCTATTTTTTAAATTATAAATATGCAAAGATAATTTACAATTTCATCTAAAACTTTTGGGAAAAAAAAAAGAATGTTATTTTGAATTTAACTAAATTGTATGGTCGAGTGTTAAAAGTTGGATGGTGGAAGCTTCTTTATACAAGAGCAGAAAATGAATCACAGCAGCTTCTTAGCACAAATTACACAGTAGATATTGGACGATTGGTATGATGAATAATCATATAGTAATCAGCACTAATTATTCAAATTAGATATTGGATGATTGGTATGAACAATAATCACATCATCACTAATTGTTCATAATAAGCATAGAACTTTTGAAACACGACCAGTGCTTTAATGTCTGAAAATGTATAGAAAAGGAAGTCTACAATTGTCAATCCAGTGTCAGATGCACAAATTTCTGTTTCCTTCAATGCAATTTGCAAACTCTTTAATCCGATTCGAAATGGCACATTATCACATTTAAATCATTCCAAAGCATTAGATAAGTTTTATATTATTCCAAAATTTATCCTGAATTCCTAAAATCACAGCCTTTCTCCACAAAAATTAAGTAAGACTACAGAATCTGAGCTATTGTTGGGTTGATCAATCATATATGTCAAATTGTTATATGGCATGTGTCAGAAATCTATTGTTTTTGATTTGGTTTATCATATATAAACATCTACTACAGGTGTGAAAATCTGTAGCCTAAGGCATATAATAAAATATTTCTCAGCGATTGAACTGTCAAAAATATACATATAAGGTGGCCCAAGAAAAAAGACCACACTATTTCAAGTGCAGTCCTTCATGTTTAAGGGGAGCTTTTGTTCCTGCTCCTCTCGACGCACGTCGGCTTTCCTTCGAAGGAATCATTAAAGACTCCTGCAAATTAGCAAAATCGCTCTCCTAAATATTGAGATTAATAAACTACTTTCAGTTTTCGTTTACTTTTAAACTGCATATATTCAAGGTATTAGGAGCTTTTTATGGCTCCCGCACAATTTTATAAACATGAAGGACTGAAAGTGGAATCATTCAAAAAGATCACACTATTTGAAGTGGAATAATTAAAAAAGACCACACTATTTAAAGTGGAATCATTCAAAAAGCAATCTACCTAGATCATTAACATTTCACATGTCGTACAATATGGTTGTTAAACAACTTCAATCCAAATTACAGGTTCATTTACAGCAATATGAGGAATTGAAAATTGAGAGAGAGAGAGAGAGAGAGCGGGAGAGAGAGAGAGAGGATTTATGTTTTAACCTCCACTCTCCACAAACTAGATCATTTCGGGACTAACATATGGTTCTATTTTATTTCAATAATTCACTTGTGCGTAGGGGTCTTTAGCAGAGGGAGGAAACCGGAGGACCCCGAGAATACTCACAATGTTGGACAGGCGACCCTACTCCTTGACACATACAACCGGGAAATCGAAACCATGCCAGTCGACTCAACAACAGAACTTATGATCCAACAGCCCCCATCATTAGACAATATAAAAACAAGCCTATATTAGTGTTGGATAAAATCTTTTAATGGACCTCAGTTTAATTTCGATTGAATCCAAGTTGGAAGACTATCTACTGTTGATATTTTGGTTTTGTTTTTAAATTATATTTGAGTAAATTTCAGCATGGATAGGCCGTGAAACATCAGGTATATTGCCAAGTCTTTCAACAATTGTTAATAACCCTGTCAGACCTGGATGGCGTCATTAGTGCGCTGCTGCGACCACACGGCGACCAGAAATTGCACAAGGTCACCGGCAAATTGAACCCACATGTCCCCAAAAATTATAAACTTGAAAAAAGCTGCATTCTTACCACAACCTGTGCAATGATAATGTGTTCTCACAGCACACCCGAACATGCTCAAAACAAAACGTCGTGACTCGGTGATCATTGGCGAGCATAGCACGATATCTGGCGTTTTGACCACACTTTTACCACACTTATGGTGATCTTGACGTGCTCTGAGACCATTTTCTGTCACTGTAACAGCGCAGTCGGGACGCCACCCCTATCTGACGGGGTTATAAACTTTTTTTACTTTATATTTCTAAACTACTAACCCACTTTCTACTTTAACACGTAAATTCAAATTTTCTTCTCTCAATCTTTCAGCTTCAACCTGACTATGAACTGATTTTGATCGAAGATTTGAGACTTGTTCTTGAAGTTTGTTATCTGGAAAAATGTACAAGAAAATTATAAGTGCTGGAAGAAAACACTACACGAAACAAGAATACAATACAAAGACAACCAGGCTGACCTTAAAAATATCTTTGTTTCACCAAACCCGACCCACAATCGAGGAGAAGGGTCGGTAGGTCGGGTTTTTTTCAGATTTTTTTTTTAAGAGCTAATTTGACAGCTTGATAATTTTCCGGGTGCAAACATTCGTCTTCTTTTATTGGCAAACAAATCAATGACATCGGCATCGGGATTTTTCTTGATGCACGACTCGCACACAAATTGCGACAAACTCACGTTTGAAACTCCCTCAACACGTTTTTAACGATCGTGCGGGTTGTGCCTTTATTTTTCTCGAAAACGGATATTGAAAATATCGTCGTCATGTTTAAAACGACGCCCCACAGACATAGAGGCAGAATCATTTCGTGGGAATGGACGTGCTTTCGTCTGCAACCATTTTGTTGAGAAGCGACACCTATTACGCTTTCGCCTTGATCAACCAGTTTCAATAATGAATCAAACCATAGCCATAATAAAGGGAAATAACTCTCGTGATATATTTCAGGTTGACACACAAAATAAAATAAAAAGATCGCGGAAAAGTGCAATAAAATAATTTAAGTCGGGGGTGGTTTTAGTTAGTCGGTCGCGTTAGGCGAAACAAAGATATTTTTAAGGTCAGCCCCAACAGGACAATAGTAAGCTGTAAAAATGAGAGAACAGACAGAAAGGGTGCACAAGCATGGAAATAACATTTTTGAAAAGAGAGAGAGAGAGAGATTTTATTTCAATAATTCGCTTGAGCGAGGTTGGACAGACGACCCTACTCCTTGTCATGTACAACCAGGGAATCGAAACCACGCCAGTTGACTCAATGATAGTCCATATGATATAGAGCGCACATGCTAACCATTTGGCCATCCAACCACCCATTTTTGAAAAGAAGCATAACACATACCTATAGAGAGAAATAAAATAGGGTTTAACCTCATACTGTTCTGTGCTAATGAAGACGGGCATATGCCATACAGTGTGCTTTGAGGAAAAATTTGCCCTGACAGCAGCGCTACGGCCTACTCTTATATATCGTATTCCAACTGCCAAGGGATCTTTTGTGTGCATGCCAACGTATACATTGGACCTCATTTTTTTTGTCCCATCCGTCCTGCATCACTCACAAGAGGAAACCACGCCGGAAAAAACTGATGAACTTTCTCGGCCAATACCAAAAGCGTACCTGCCACCTCCAGGCTAGCAAGCCAGTCTCTTACTCACTTACATTGTAACCACTGTGGCTCCACCTATGGAGAGAGGAGGCAGAGGGGAAGGAGTAGATGTAAGCCGAATCACCCAAGAAAAATCCCATGAGTTTCAAATTTAGACTGTAAAATGTGTTTTGCTCTAATATTTTCCAAGAAAATTCAAAGGGTAATTCATATTTGTGCTTTGGTTGTTCAGTCATTAAAAACAAATTTTTTTTTTTTTTTTGGGGGGGGGGGTGACCGTTCGCATGTTATGACTTATACTTTTACATTGAGCACATTCATACATGTATGATCACATTTGATTACACAAAATCTGAATATTAATAATCGGTAATACATGTAGGCCTAAAATAACGAAGTATTGAACTGTACAATAACTAAAGGGTTAATTTTGCATGCATGACAGTGTATGTACAGCTCAGTGTGGAGCAGTTTGACTCATTTAATGGTAACATGAATAGATCGAATGGTGAAATGATTAGAAATACATGTACTAAATGATGAATGCCAAAAAGGATGCCTTATTGCTTATTCATTGAGGAAGTTGAGCTGGGGCCCTTAAGTGTTCAAATAAAACCCTCAAAAAACAGCGTCAGATATTAAAAAGTCTCAGCAGATGACTAATAATCATTTCTTCATTACAGGCATCTGCTAGTATTCAGTATGTGACTCAGAAAATTACAATAATAAGGAAAAGAAAAATCAAAACATTGAATATTTCGTCGGAAACCACCCACCTAAATATTACTATTTCGTAAAGATTAAAATAAAATGTTGCTAGAATTTTTAATGGATACTCACTAGATTGAATCAAGCTTGCATAAGTTTGGGTTTGAGTTTTATTACGATTCTTTAGCTGTAAAATTAAATTTTGTTTCCAACTCAAACTTTCACTGTGCGCTGCCATCTTGAATATTGGTGAAATTTCGTTACAGAGTTGCAAAGTTTCGTAATTTTATTTTAACAAACTGGCTCAAGTTTCTAGGATTATGACAAGTAAATAGTCATATTGCGAATAATTTGTGACTTTATTTGGATGAGTAATGAATCATAAAGATGTGACAATTATTCTGATATTTCACCTACTGGCTCTGTTTGACATAAAAAAAAAAGGGTGAAGGTCACTGTTAAAAAATCCAATACATCCTGTCCATCGAAAGACTACTGTTGCTTCATTGAATATTTTTATAGAGTTTCCTGAGGTGAGTTGAATTTAATTTTGATTTTAAGCTATACAATTTTCAATATTTTTTCAACAGAGAGACACAGATAAAGATGACAACTTTTCATTCATCCATTATGATCAACTGTCTTTGTTTACAAAGAATACATGTGTAGTAGGGCATTCTTTCTATATAAATGTGACACTGACAGTTATAAAAATAATACCGTGCTCACGCATTGTTGACTCAAGCTATTTATAGTAGTATTGGCAACACTGTATCAATTTGACATCATTCACATATCACCATGTAAATGAAGGCCAGTGGTAGCCCTTTTGGGGAGCAGGTCGTTTCATCCCACTACTGTTTCATCCGGGCTGTTTCATCCCAAATTTACACAGGTCCTTTAATAAAAATCATCCCACTTATATCGGGTTGTTTCATCCCACAAATTTAAAAACGGGTATTACATGAACTTTTAATATTTTATTTATACATTAATACAAATAACAACATGCCAATGCAATTTTATCATGAATAGTGTCCAACTCCTTCTTTTGCATACGCCTTAGCTTATTTTCCGAATATTTTATTTATACGATGTCAATGCAATTTTAATATGAATAGTGTCCAACTTCTTTCTTTGCATACGCTTTAGTTTATTCAGAATCCACACCACTTCTCGACACCAATTTCACTAAAATTACATTACTTACAATCGGGCGATGCTCATAGCAAAATATTCAACTTGTAATACACTGTATAGTCATTTGCATACATGTTGGTTTCACTATAACAGGATTGCCAGTGATAGAACAGATCAAAGGTGAACTAATCTAAAATCATAACGGAAATTACCTAACAATACGAATAAACAATACGAATATACAGTGGTGAACTAATCTCGGCTGTGATCGGTAATCAACAAAAATCGACGAGTAAACATTATTCGTTCGGTTCCTGACGAAAATTTACTACGAAACCGGATATCGTCTCTGATTGGCCAATTTTATCACATGGTTATTAGCGGTCTTTTTCAATATGGTGGCCTCTACAGGCATCCTTGTTGGTGCTGAATTTACGACTCTAAATTCACTTTTAGAGGCGATGAAACAATTTGAATTTAAGAATAAAGTGACATATTGGCGAAGAGATACGCAGACATTAGAAAATGCAAGAATCGAGGGTTAGGGTTAGGGTTAGAACCGAACCTATCGCGATAGAATAACCACGTGGTGAAATTGGCCAATCAGAGACGATATCCGGTTTCGTAGTAAATTTTCGCAAGGAACCGAATCCGATCGTTTATCCACTTCCTAAAAAATAATGTATCAAGCTTACATGCATGGGGATGTTTAAATAATAATTATCACCATTTCTTAACACAAGATAACTTTTGTCACAACTTCATTTGAAATTCACGGCAAGAATGGAGTTTTCCAATGACTATATGCATATATGCTATCATTTCTCAGCCAATCAGCACTTGGAATTTTGTTACTGTATCTGGTTCCATGCCATATAAAGCATTGCATACAAGAAGCATTGTCACTAAGGTTAAAGTTGGCGTGAAAATTGCACAGTATCCATGGACATGAATAAAAAAAAAAAACCACTTGATAATAGTAATATGTAGTGTCTGTGATGTATTTTGGCGATAAAGACAGGGGTATCCTCATCGAAACATTGCTTTGTATTAAACTCAGTAATTTTGTATCCATAAAATTGTACCTTGTGTTAAGATAAACGATGTTAGACATCATAAACTAATCTTATAACAAAACTTTATCCATCGAATAATTTATATTTAGATTTCATATCAAGTCAATTACATGCTGTCGAAACATTAAAACAAAGCCAATTAAGAAACGATACCAGTATACTTTATTACAAAGACATCGGTGAACCAATCTAAAATCATAACGGCAATTAAATAACAATACAAATATACTTGACTACAAAAACATTGGTAAACTGACCTAAAATCTAAAATCATAACGTCAATTAACAAACAATATGAATATACTTTATTACAAAAACAGCGGTGAATTAATCTCGTTCGTGATCGGTACCAAGTAAAACATATTTATTCCATACATTTAAATTGTGTACGAGTCACGTATTAGATGGAGACGATTTAACCATTATTAGTTGTGAACGACTTAAAGATACATTATGGGAGATTAGATAAAGAGCTGGCAGTTCTCACTATAATAGTTAAAAACTAGATAATGTAAAGGCAATTTGCTGAAAATTCCAGTCAAATTGATCCACTCTGAACCGAGAATTTAACAAGTGAATTTTAGGCCTCGCCTCGATCATCATTATTAAAGTCGGTACGATAAAAAAACATAGCCTTGATTATCCATTTTTTGATTGAGCAGCAGATTGAATTCTAATCCAGTAATATTGCAGCCTAGTGATGATATCAAGAGTTGATTATGGTCTGGATAAGTTAATTAATGATCAGGCCTAAAGAAAGACCTGCAATAGGCAGATTTAGCTCTTGCATAATGTATGTTTAACCAATGGTTGTGGGCAAATTAACTGTGGCTGACTTTGCTTGTGGATGAGTTAACTGGCATCCCATATTTACACTAGCCATCATTGAAATGAGTTTAACAAACGCTTGTGATAAATACCTTAGTTCAAAATAGGTCAAGGCATATAGATCGAACCTGTTGAAGTGAGTGGTGTGGTCACTTGATTTGTCATTTAAGTGAATATTGACTATTTATTTAAAGTTTGGTCTATTTTATTTACTACCGCTTTAAGGGTATCCCCTAGAAAAACATGTTTACTACCGCTTTAAGGGTATCCCCTAGAAAAACATGTTTACTACCGCTTTAAGGGTATCCCCTAGAAAAACATGTTTACTACCGCTTTAAGGGTATCCCCTAGAAAAACATGTTTACTACCGCTTTAAGGGTATCCCCTAGAAAAACATGTTTACTACCGCTTTAAGGGTATCCCCTAGAAAAACATGTTTACTACCGCTTTAAGGGTATCCACTAGAAAAACATGTATGTCTCACCTAATTAAAGCTTGACTGAACAGACTGGTTCACTGGTTTACTGGTTAATCCCCATATCGTCGACCTGACAGAGAATTAACTAGTTCTATCTAACATTATTCTAGTTCTGAGGAAAATGAGTTTAAAGTTTCATATTAAACAATATTAAAACAACTCTTTGCGGGAGCATTCTCTATTTATACTGTACATGGACAGATTTCACCAGTGGGTAATTCTACATGTATATATATGTAGATCCGAAATGTATATAAGGTCCATGGTTTAACATCCACTTGATACAAACTAGGTCATTTTGGGATTAACATATGGGTTCAGTTTTATTTCAATAATTCGCTTGCGAGTAGGCGTATTTAGCAGTGGAAGGAAATCGGAGAACCCAGAGAAAACCCACTAGGTTGGATTGACGACCCTACTCCTTGTTCCTTGTCACGTAAAAGGGGGTTGGATGGCCGAATTATTGGAATAAAATTGAACCATATATTAGTACAGAAATGACCTAGTTTGTGTTGAGTGGATGCCTGTCCAACCTTGTGGGTTTTCTCCGGGTCCTCCGGACCCCTCCAACTGCTAAAGACCCTTGCACATAAGTGAATTATTAAAATAAAATTGAACCATGCAACTGGGGAATCGATACCACACCAGTTGACTCAATGACAGACCTTATAAATCAAAAAACAAATAAAGTTTAGGCATTCAGAAAAAAAAGGACATGTATAGATTTTTAAGATCTTTTATAGATAAAAGTGAGTTATCAGTTGTTATCTGAAAGTATAACATGTTTGTTTTCCATTTATTTTACTCATTTAAAAATAATCGTGGTTTTGTCACGTTATGGATATATCTTATTACGTCACTTGAAGTATTATCACGAGAGTTTGTCATGCTTCAGGTTTTATTTTACATGAATGCATGACAGGCTTTCGTTTGTCTGACAGATTCTGCTAATTTATGTTCACCTGCATTTCTTAATTAAAGGTATTCACATATCTTTTAACAACCAGGGGCATTAGTCACAAGAAAAAGATTACCTTCAGATTTATGATATGCAAGAATTATGCAGTCGGATATCTTATGTAGATATAAAATTTGAAGACCTTAAAGATACATTGTGTAAGATTTACATGTAGATAAAGAACTGGCCGTTCTTGCTATAATAGTTCAAAAATAGATAATGCAAAATGAATATATTGAATGGAATTTTTATTCAAAGTACTTTATTCTGAGCGAATTAACCACTGTTTGTAGTTTTGACAAGATATGGGCATTGATTGTTTATTAACGTAACCACGGTGCTGGTTATTTGAGTCTTAGCCTTGCATCGCCGGTTTTTAGATTAAACCATTAAATGGTCCAACTGGTGACAAGATGTGTGCATTGATTGTTTATTAACTTAACCACAGTGCTGGTTATTCGAGTCTTAGCCTTGCATCTCCATTTTTATACGCCCACATTGAAATGTGGACGTATATTGCCGTCGCCCCCGTCCGTCCGTCGGTCCGTCCATCGTCCACAATTTCTTGTGAACGCTCTAATGCCAAAAGTTATCATCCAATTGTTTTAAAATTGATATATGTTGTTTACATTAGTGAGATGAAGAATCCTATTTAATTTCAATAATTTCTGTTTATTATGTCTAGAGTTATGGCCCTTGTTTCACTTTATTGAACCTTGTGAACGCTCTAACGCCAAAAGTTATCATCCGATCTTTCTGAAATTTATATGCATTATTTAGATTACTCAAACGAAGAAGCCTATTGAATGTCAGCAATTTTCGTTTATTACGTCTAGAGTTATGGCCCTTGTTTCACTTTATTGATCCTTGTGAACGCTCTAACGTCAAAAGTTATCATGCTATCTTTCTGAAATTTATTTGCATTATTTAGATTACTGAAACGAAGAAGCCTATTGAATTTCAGCAATTTCCGTTAATTACGTCTAGAGTTATGGTCCTTGTTTCACTTTATTGATCCTTGTGAACGTTCTAACGTCAAAAGTTATCATTCGA